TTTTGTGTATATTGTTATGCTTGTTTTATTATTTGAGTTCCATTTTAAACTCGTAGAATGTGGTTGCTCTATGAAAAAGTAGTGAAATATAAGTGACTTCTGCACCTGGGGGGGGGGCAAAATGGGATTACCGGAATAGAAATATTCCTGGTGCTCGATAATATTCCTCGATTAGTCATTTTAAAGTTATATAACCTATTTGTGCCACGTGTTCGTTAGACAACCGTTTTCCAATAGTTTTTGGTTCTTCTGGAATCATTGGACGTTAATACTTGTATCTGGTTAATAAGGATTTAAGGATTTTTGTCCAGGACCAAAAGGGCGGTAGGTTTAACCGTAAATTCGCTTTACTTAACATTTTTTTATTTTATAGGTGTCACACCTATAGTAGATATAGGTATGTTTTTAAATAAAAATACGTACATACAAATCTTAATATAATATTATCTTTTATTTTTGGTTACACACATTAATTTAATAATATCGCATTTTAAAATCTTACTTTACTATAAAAAATCTATTTAAGATCAATACATTTGAAATGATTTTCTTTATATGTGAACAAATATTTAGAACTTGTACGAACCTATCAATAAAAGTTTATATTTCTCCCTATATGATTTTCACTATATTTGTTTCTGCAGCCGATGTCTCAAAACAACATCGTCATAATTTTAAATAATTTAATGTTCTTGCCGTTCTGAAAATGTATATAGTCTTCTCTTGTATTGCACAAACTCAACAATTTGTTCATCGATGTGGCTTTCAAAAAAATCATCAATATTCTTTTAAAAAACAACACCACACAGACACAAATATAACCTAAAAATCGCAATAACTGCTAGTTAATTCCTTATCTGGCACTTGCAGCTTTCAGTTAAATTTAATTCCAGTTATCTTAATTTCAGTTCTTAGTAAAGGTTAGTTGCATATTGCACAGTTTAGCTACCACTTTATATTTACCTGTTCAGACACTTATTAACTGGACATTGATAAACCGGCCCTTAGGCTTTTATTTCAAGTTTTAAAACCATTCATACCTTAGGTGGGCCCCGCCTTCCCCTATGTTAAACCATTTAAGAATAAAAAACTTCTTTAATTTGTTTTAGACATTTGGCGAGCAAATTTAAAAAAAATATTAAATTCATCTGATAGAAATTTGACAACAACTGTTTGTTTAATTATATAAAAACATCCAATGACGCAAATCTATTGGATGCACAGCTGTGTCCTAAGAGAAAACGTTTTTTGTACACTCCGGAGGATAATAATGTCCAAATTTAACTCTCCCTTCGTTACTCAATACTTGTTGCACGACGGTGTCAAGTTGTTATGCATTTTATAAATTCGATTTAATATGAAGGGTTTTCAGGGGCAAAATAAGACAATTCGCCGCCCTTGGCAGCTGCTTAATTTCTGCGACTAGTTTTTTGAACTCATACGTAAAGCTTTCACACAAAAAGTTTTATTTTTAATTATGCAAGTAGCGTTATATCGCGTATATAGACCATCAAAATTTGCAGCCCCTAAAAATTGGCCGCCGCACAGTGTTTCAATTCTCGAAATTTTCGGCAAAATATCAAGAAGTAGTTGGATATTCCTGAAAATCCGTATAAAGAGGTTTTTGGGATCGCTGATAACGAATCTGGAATCAGAATTCCAAAATTCAAAATGGTAGATCCAAAATGGCGGACATATTTGTCAAACATGACGGAATAAATTGAAAATCAACATACAGGGGTTTTTGGGGTCGCTGATAACGAATATGGATTCAGAATTCCAAAATTCAAAATGGTAGATCCAAAATGGGGGACATATTTGTCAAAAAATTGACGGAAATTATTGAAAATCACAATACGGGGGTTTTTGTGGTCGCTGATAATGAATCTAGAATCAGAATTCCAAAATTCAAAATGGTGGACCTCAAATGGCGGACATTTTTATAAAAAAATTGTCCAAATTAATTAAAAACTCGTAAGATCTTCTTTTTAAAATGTAAATAAAAGATTTTTTATAAAATAGTTTAATTTAGTTTATTATAATTACATTTATATGATATTATTTAATACCTACATATATATTAAACAATCTCCGTCACTGGATTCGCTAAAAAAATTGTCAACACAAATAACCACAATTCAAATTTGACATTATCACACTACAATGCGCATGCGGAGTTGTTTTAACGCACCTACAAGAGTGGGTTAAATATGTAAAATCATTGTTAAATATCTTAGTAGACACGCACGATTTACGCAAGTGAAAGTCTAGACACCGCTGTTGTAATAAACGTTTTGAGTTAAATCCGAGTGAATCGAGTAAACGTCATGAACGCAACCCAGAAATAAAAAAAAAATTCTTATATTTTGTAAAGCAAAAACACAGATAAGCGCGTGACATAGGCTTAAAATCGCGAGTTTTTTTACCACAACCGTGCCTGAGCGCCCAAGAACGTGTAGTTTTAAAGAGCCGGGGGCAAGTTGGGGCAGATAATTTATTGATGGCTTGAGAGACAAAACTCTAAGCTATTCAACGGATCTTGAACTGATGCCTTACAATTCATTACAATTTTTGTAGCTCCATTGTTCTAAAAGCTTGATTCAAAGTTTGCGATTTTAACAGACCGATCTTGTCGGTTACGATAACCCGTTGTACAAGCAAAATCTACGAAAAACAAATACATATCTAAATTTTACATACCTTGAAGATCACCCTTCATCAATCTGCATAACAATCGGACACACCAAACACAAGTTATTCACTTTTAAGCAAAAAACAATTTTTCGCAGCGATCGCGTGTAAAGTACCTTCAACTGAATGCGTCAAGTTTAAACTGATGTACAAGACAAAATATACGTATTTTATATAATTTTTTTTTCAATACAGGATGAAGACAGGTATTAAATACCCATCTAACTCAAAATTTACCTGAATGTCAATTTTTTAGGTTTTGCCGATATTTTCGAGAATTGAAACAATGTGCGCCGTAGGATTTATCCTACTAAGTTTTAATGATCCTTTTAAATGATTGGTTAATTTTCAAAAAATATTACGAGGCAAAATAACCCTTAAATGTGATTTATTTTTAAATTGCTTTTAAAGACATATTTGATTTGATTCTATTTTAACCAACTCAATAGAACGTTGTGAGTTTCGACAATAATGAAATTATTGATTGTTTTATTGCAATTTAACTTTTGTTATTCGGTTGGTAATTTATAACAGTTTAGTAAACGAAAATTTTGTGAAATTATATTAAAAGTTTTCTAGCTTAGCAAAGTTTGAAATTTTAATTTAACTTCAAATTTTAAGTAATATTTAGAAATATAAATTTAAGATAAATGATACCAATCATAACGCGCATAGGTATATAAATTTATAAGTAAATAATATAATTTTTCTACTATTGCATATTATTAAAATTATTTGGGTTTTTCCGTATACAATGTTAACCATTATAACCGCCCGGCTAACAACGGAAATAATTACCGTTGTGATTGGCAAATTTCAATATTCACTGAAAATATGTATTCTCAATATATCTCATATAATAATATACCTACTATTAAAAGTGAGGTTATAATAAATTTTGTTATTAATGAAATTTTGGAGTAGAAAATGGATGTTATTACACTCAAGATAATGCCAATTATTCCATTGAATGATTGGCGGCTCGATGCGCAAACTTCATTCTCCTGAATTATCTTCATTCTCCTGCATTATTAAATGAATTAACTTCACTATTTAAGAATACATATTATTAAAAATTGACTTATAAGGTTTTGCTTAATTTAAATTTATTTATCTGCTTCTGCTCGGGTACAAAATAAACATTTAAAATGATAATGAAGATCTTAAAGTAGATTTTTTTAAATTAATATGACTTAAAATTAGACAATAATTTAAAACATGTAAATTATCATTACCTACCTATATAGTGAAATTTTATTATTTTTTCTGTTTGCCTAAAACTAATTCGATTTTTCTTTAAAATTAATTTATACGTTTTTTTATGATCACTTCTCAATTAATAAAACCTGACCAAGTCCAATATTATAAAATTTTACATATGTTATACATAAATATTAAAATAAGTATTCCGCATTTAAATCAACAATTAAATGGTTATTGTTCCAAAACTTTCGGTGCTAAAAACTCGCCAAAATAAAATTTCGGCAACAATCGATAGTATTTGGGCCCCTTATCGTAGAGGAGGACGGGGGGTGTCCCAAACGCATTGGAGGCGGCGTCGCCCACGCTCTTCATTCAAGCCGCCCACGCTACGACGCCGTGACGTCAGGCGGTGGCGATGAGCGGCGCCGGCACACAGAGCTCACTATGATTCTCTTACAGGCTCTCTCCTTTAGACAGTCGTCGCCTAGCAACTCGTTTGTCTTGATCGCGAACTGGTATATTCTATTTCTCCATTTTGGCGGCAAGTTTTTCAACAGATGTTTACATATTTACAAAGTTTCCAGTAATTTATTAATATAAATGATTACGGAAATTAAAGGGCAAGTGGTTGATCAATTGGTCGAAGAAAACAATTTCTGGAATATGGTAAAACTATTTATATTTTCTATAGTATTTTTTATTTGATAAAAAAGAGCCCACATTGGTGAATATGATTTTAAAGTAAATGACTTTTTCGTGTACGTGAAGGTTAATTAATTTTATCAGAATTATAATGCTACGTTACAGTCTTATGGCAATACATTTGGCGTAAACTAAATCCTAACACTAAAAATATACCAAGTTACATTATATTTTATTGTGTTTAAATACCATAAAAAGAACTAATCCAGGTTAAATACCTTTATTTACGCATTTTCCTGTAAATTTGTTGGGACTCCCAGACATTATGAATTCTTGGAAACTTTTAACGTAACAATAAATGCTTTGTTTTTTTAATTGTTTTATTTATGTGTTTACCTAACAAAGAAACATTTTTTATGAATATATCTTGTGAAATACATGTTTAATTATTTTTTTTGTTTTAGTGTGGAATAACTGAAGACGACTCTGCTGATGAAGAACTCGGCGTGGATACGCTTATACCGTACAGTTACACTAGCTGCAGCAGCAGCACCCCTACGACGTCCGGTCCAGACTCCAAAGATGTGGAATTACAACAACGGCTGGCAGTGCTCAGTTTCGAGCAAGTGTGTCGTCTCAACGATGTGATGGACGAAGTAGTGAGCATTCATGGCCGCGGCAACTTCCCCACGCTGGAAGTTCGTTTGCGGGACCTAGTGGACATAGTTCGCGAGAAGCTGGAGGCTGACACGGCCTCCGGAGGCGCAGGGATGCGAGTGCGTGACATCAGGCTGAACGGCGGAGCCGCTTCCCATGTCTTCGCCACGGAAACTCAGTCCTACAACGATCTGGATCTCATTTTTGGCGTGGAATTGTCCTCGTCCGTTCGCAACTTTGACCGAGTCAAGTCCGCCGTTTTAAGCTCGCTCTACGAGATGCTACCTGATGGGGTCAGCCGGAAGCGCATATCCACCTGCAGTCTAAAAGAAGCCTACGTCAGCAAGATGGTCAAAGTAAACAGTGCGAACGGTGGCGACCGATGGTCCCTAATCTCTCTTGGAAACTTCCGCGGCAGAGGCGTCGAGTTAAAATTCGTAGACACCATGCGTAGACAGTTTGAATTCTCCGTGGACTCATTCCAAATCATCCTCGACTCACTTCTTCTCTACTACAAATGCAGCGAGCTAGAAATTAGCGAGAACTTTTACCCCACCGTTGTTGGTGAGTCTGTATACGGAGACTTCCAAGAGGCTATCTATCATTTGCAAAAGAAGCTGATCTCAACTATACACCCGGAAGAGATCCGTGGAGGCGGTCTGCTCAAGTACTGCCACCTACTAGTCAAAAACTACAAACCGGCACATCCGGACTATATCAAGCTATTGCAAAAGTAAGTAACGAATCATTTATCTTTTATCTACAAGGTTATATTTATGATTAAAATTTTTGCATCCTTAAGAACTTTTCTAATTTATAATAGATTTAAAAAAAACAATAACTTAACTAACCTTAATTTACAATATATTTTTACTTTATAAATAAATTTACCTTTATGGTAAATTTTGCTTCGCTAAAAGGTTGGTAATATAGTTCTCATTAAACCATGGTATTATACAAGACAAACTAGAAGTAAACTAAAAAAATAATGTTTAAATTTAAAATTGTTATTGAAACACCGGTATGCTGGTTATGAATCAGAAACCCGTTAGACATGCGTATGTGCAGGGCCGGCGTTAGCTTATTAGAGGCCAGGTGCAAAAGAAAAATGCGGGGCTTGAACTAAAAATTTACTCTTGAAAATTAATAAACCAATAAAACATCAAACGAAAAACCAATTGAAGGGATTAAAGTTAAAACCGCATTTTTTAAGCGTGTTACCGGATAGTAGAAAATTTTGACTTAAAAATGCACTTGGGTGGTTCAGCTTTTCCCTTCAATTAATATAGAAATTAACGTTTAAGAAAAAATCACACATAATTTTTCCCTGCTTTAGCGGAAGCTCTTTTCCAACATCCTCTATTGACAATATAGCCAAACCCACTAGTCGTTCTTGGCACATACCTTCTTGATCTTAAATATTTATTTATTAATTTTAATTTTGAAAACTCTTTTCCCGGCGTAATAATAACGGATACAGGCAACTTCAAATACACATTTAGCAACATTGAACTGAATGATAATAGATGACGATACTTACTAAAGATATTATCTCTGGCAATGACCATATATTATTTTGTCACGCTGTGCTTACATCTTGCCATGTTGCTAAAATGTACAATAATTTCGTTAAGACGACTTGATGCGAGCGGGGCCTATAAAACGCGGGGCCGGGTGCAACCGCACCGTTTGCACATGCCTCACGCCGGCACTGCGTATGTGACGTCACGCTAGAAGCAGATTCGAACGTTTTGCATATGCACGGATGTTTTCCCACTATTTCCGTTAAGTTTTTTTGCAATTATTGTGTTTTAATAACTATTTTTAAGAAATAAGCCACGCACGGGTGGTGTTTTTTCATCAAGTTTTTGCTGCTTTTGTTGGCCAGCAATAACTAAGGTTAAAATTTATTTAACGTGTTTACAAGGCATAAGCCACTCACCGGTGTTGATTCCATTTGAGGTGAGTCCTTGTTAAAGGTTTAAGCAGAACGACCATATATTTATAAATTTGGAAATATAACGTGATTTTGCAGCTTTTGCTCTGCACATGACGTCACATATGATGCGCATCAACAAACCTTTGTTTGTGCCCACGATGCATCTAATATACCGTAAAACGGGGCGATTTCTAACAGCCGGGGCGACCTCGGACATCATAACCTTAAAGCTATTAAGAATTCCTGATATATATAATAATTCGGGCAAAAACTTCGTAGAAGATGGCTAAAGCGGTATGTAGGTTCGGTTGTTAAGTAAAATAAGCTTTTTGCATCGTTTAGTCTAAAGTTCAAACTTTACTTCTTTTATTACTATACGGGGTCAATATTTTTTAATTTACCAGTATTGGGTATAAGAAGAAATATATTTGTTTTATTATTTGATCCTCAGAATTAAATTGATAAATAAAATGCCTTTTTCTGTTTGAATGAGTTCTACTGTACTGAATATGATTTGGCAAAACATTAAACAATAGGTAAACTTAAGTTTTATTTTTAATTTAGCGTTAAAACGCAGTACCTCTAAAAATTTAATTTAACAATGTTTGTTCTCAGTAATTAAATACAAATAAAAGGCAAAATAATTGCTATGTATGTATGTAAGCTCTTTTAAATGCTCCGATCCAATTATTATAATACACTTTTGTACGTTATTGTAACACATAATCTCCCTACACTCAAAAAATAAAAATTGTAATAAAATACCTCGTTTGGAAATTTGTTTTCATAAACAAACATTTTTTACTTGGTAGCAACCACACAATAAATTTTACAATAATTATTTGCGGTCACCTGCCAAGGTCAAGAGCAATACTTATTTTCATTTCGTAAAAATACCTACATGTTTTTTCTAAACAAATACCTATTCATTTTCTTTGTAAAAATATTATTTGTCTAAATCGACCACCTAGCAACAAGTGGTTCTCATAGCAACAGATTACAAATAAGGAAGCTATACTATAGTTTAGAGCCTTCGACAATTTAATGTTTATTACGTAACCGTAAACACTAATCCAAATTTACCACGGTGAGTTTTTAGTTTGGTGAAGTAAAAGGATTTATTTTCGATTCGATCAAGATGGTTATATATAAGTATACTTTCACTTCTTCATATAGCATTTTGTATTGTGCACGAGAAAAAGTGACCTTTTACACGCTTGATTCGTAACATCATAATTAATTTGCTTGAGTTTGCCATGGATATATGATTTATTGTACAACAGAAAAGGTCGTTAATTTGGAATAGGTACTTGCGTAATTAATCAGTGAGGTACTGCTGCGCCATCAAGTTACTTATCTTTAATAATATTTTAATTATAATTTATTAGTATATTCTGTAACAAGTTTGGAATACAGCATATTCCGGTCGAGTGAAGAGTTTGTCACACGAGCCGAAGGCGAGTTTGACGGTTTCACGAGAGCGGAATATGCAATTCCAAACGTGTTTCAGACTATACTTTTTCTACGTTTCCAAAAAATACCATAGAAAAATAATTTTATTGGAAGAAAGTGAGGTTGCATCTGTCTAAAATTTTTTATATTAAAACAGAAATGTCGCCATGAATGTTTATTCTGTCATCAGATGATAGAATATTTCATTCTGTAACACTTTACGGAATATATGTCATTCCATAGATAAAAGTGATATTAGAAGGGTCAAATTCCGTAATGGAGTAGAAAAAATATACATATTATATTATATTGACATCCGTTTGTGACATAATGTCATAAATAGAGTTAATAATAACCATAAAACCACACGTGCTATTTTAGCGCCGAAAAATATCACTCTCTTAATGACCAATATAAAAAAAATTGTTTTGGACAAAAATTAAAATTTATCGAAATATGCCCATTTTCAAATTATCTTCGTAGATTCCGCACGGATTTAACCTCACTTTTTCCAAATTTATAATAAAGATAACTTCAGCCCGTGACTAAAATGCCCAGAAGCCACTGTTGCTATCTTCAGTCCGTGACTAAACCGCAAAGTTATCAATGGGGGAGTAGATAAAAAGAATTAATATACCACTATTATTACGATTATATTATTTCATATTTTTATTCTATTTATGCTGTTTTAGTCATTTTTGGACCTTTTTATGTTGCATATAATCCGTTCTCTACTAATTAAATAAAAAATTCCATTCTGTTAACCAATTGGTTTAGCACAATAATTATTATAATAATTATTGTATATATAGGAATATTAAACAAAAAAATATTTATTAAAACAGCTGATTCATATTAAAAAGCATTTTCCATTTAAAGTAATTTTCAACACACACATGAATCACATTTTTAAATCATAATTAGTAATTAGTTGTTACAAAATTCTCGTTGATTGCAATTTTAGAAACACCAATGTTCACGTTTTTTTATCAAATGACCACGCATTTTTTTATCTGTACATCTGTTGCAAAAAAAATTGCGAACATTTGTTGTACAAAAACAAGGTTAAAATAATTTATAAAGCAAATAAAAACAAAATATCTAAAATTGTGGAGTGGTTATCTTTACATTATTGTTAAAATGATAACTTATAATTGTATTTGCAAACGTGGAAATTAAGCCTTTCTCATGTATATACTGTAGTGTAATTTTGTATTGTGATAACTGGATAAATTGAGGAATATTGTCAGGTAAAAATTCCTTTAAATGCAAACATTCTGTTGATCGATACTTATCGATAAGCCGAGGAATCGGTAACTATCGATAGTTTTAAACATTACCGATAACTATTGATCCTTAAAAAGCATTTGAACTAGTAGAAGACAAAACTGAACATGTTTGCAAATTTATGTAAATAATTAAACGGATTTTTTTAACGAAATGTGACTGTGCAAGTGGTTGTAATGACAAAAAGTTTTCCAAGGAATTTTCGAGTTTTGTTTTGTTTAAAGTTGTTAGTTTACATTTTTCGCCTGACAGTAAGGGTGGGGAAAATTACTAAGCAGGGCCGTTCCTGGCGAGCGTGCAGTGCGTGCACGCACGCAGGCGCAACATTTTGGGGGCGCAAAATCAAAGTGTCAATCAGTACTTTGTAACGATAAACTTTCTTGCAAATAAACAAATACTTAAACATACAAAGGTCTTTGCGCCGGCCGCATTAAAGCCCTATGCTATATTATTTGTTTGATGGTTGCAGTTAAAGGTAGCAAAGTTTAACAGGTGGTTACACAGTACATGACTTGGTAACGAGCTTACTCTCTAAAATTCAATAATAATTATCGCCAAGAGCAATTTATCCCGGACATTTAGCAGTCAACTCCTATGTAAAATTGTCGTCAAAAGTTATAAAAGTAAAACAGTTTTTGAGATATAGTCAATTTTTCATATAATATGGAATTAAATATTTCAAAAACTGCTCTCATTTCATAATTTTTGACGGTCTTTTCGGATTCAGGGGACAATTTTAAATAATAATAAGCTGTTAAATGTCCGGAATACAAATTGCTGTGGCTAAAATTATTAGTGACTGCTTTTTCACTTTGAAAACTATAGTCATTTTTGACTAATTCATTTTTAGAGAGTACTTCACTAAAAACCAGTTGTAGTTTTTGACAATTTTAAATAATAATAAGCTGTTAAATGTCTGGAATACAAATTGCTGTGGACAACAATTATTAGTGACTGCTTTTTCACTTTGAAAACTATAGTCATTTTTAACTAATTCATTTTTAGAGAGTACCTACGTCACTAAAAACCAGTTGTAGTTATTATATTATATTTTC